AACCACTGGGTGTGATAGGCAACAATCTACACCATTGGGATTTGATAACACATTATCAGCCGAGTGATATCAGTCTAAAACCAACCACTGGGTGTGATAGGCGACCAAGTGAGTGATTTGGGCTTAACACTGCTTTGAACAGTATTTCAGTTTCATAACTGTGCATTAGCTTGATGTATGATTTTGTTTGTTTGTTGTTTAACGCCACACTCAGCAAGTTTCCAACTGTATGACGGTGGTCTGTAAATAATGGAGTTTGGATCAGACAATCCAGTGATTGACACCATGAGCATCAATCTACGCTATTGGGATGTGATGACATGCATTAGCCAAGTCAGCGAACCTGACCACCCGATTCTGTTAGCACCTCTTATGACAAGAATAGTCATAAGCTAGATTTGCTGAAGACCTATTCTACCCCGGATGCTAATTGGTTGCTTCATGTGTGAGGAAAGTCTGAAGTGCTCACTAGGTCTTAGACATTTACCATGCTGAGGAAGCCCATGGTAACATGTTGGTGCTAAGAAACTTTGAAACATAATCAATGCAAATCTGGGATGTGAGCCCTCATTCACAGGTTCGTGGTGTGCCTAAAGGATGCAACTCCGCACAATAAATTGCAGCACCTAGGACTATTGGGCCACCAATGCCCACTTGGGCAACTCGTAATCTCCACAGTGCATTGTAAAGTAGCTTGGTGGACAGAGGTATTTGAAATATAGTCACAAGGCTTGGCAGCTCATCTTATCAGAGTGAGTGAGTTGGGTTTTAACACCCCAATTAACAGTTATATCACAGTGTGTCATCATGAGTGGTAGGAAAGTCTAAAGTGATGCAGATCTCAGCCAATAACCACTTTGGTTAAATCCACAAAAACAGGTATGGTGCAGACAACCCACAATCATAGGTTTCTGCTACGCCCAAGGGATGCAACTCTGCACAGCGAACTGCGGCACCCGTGCTCCCAAGCTAATCAGAAAATAATAGACAGCGGATGCAGTTTCATACTGAATTATAGTCAAGTATTTATATTTCATGTTAAACATCTGAAAAGGACTCTGTAGATACTATTTTAAATTGTCAACACAAAGTGTCAGGTTCCTGGAATTATATTTAATGTACCCTTAACAAGCATATTGAGAGAAAAACATTGCTTTGTTTAAAAATGGAATCTTTTCAAGTTGTTTACATTCAGATGTGAATCTGAACATTGAAAATTCCATGCAGCTTGTGAAAGATTAATGCATCGTCTCCTTTACTGGTTCTGTTGTCAGTGAAACACAAGTCTGGAAATTGGTAAGTTGAGTTATAAGCAATAAACAGAAACATAAATAAGTCCTATCTGGGTACTTTGACTGGCATTTGATGCACACTGGGGACCGAATATCAGCCTCTCAGCAGGTCGAGACAAATACCGGAGGTTCAGAGGGCTTTGGCTTCTGAAGAAATGCAGAAAATGTAAAAGACACAAAAGGATGACCAACAACAGGCGACTTCTTAAGATCACTTGAAGTTTTAGTTAAAAAACAGTGCCATACCGGAACCTATATTTTATATCCTGTTTACCACACGCTGTTCCATATAATATAATAGGGAGGTTTCCAACAGGGCAAAGCCAACAGTTAAAACACTCATTCTCAATCAATGTACACAAATGTACAAAAATGGTGCATCTGTACAGTGTTTGAAATAAAAGTAATTGCCTGGCTGCTATCAGGACCACAGACAGAAGCTACAGGCCCTGACTAAACTCTTCAGGCCCTCATTTAAAAAACTGCAGCTAATATAAATAAATAGAAGGACCCATACAAATTTGAAACTACAGGCCCGACACGAGATTTACCTGCCACAGGACTAAGGGAACTGTGTCTCTGTAACAAATCTTCAAATATACTTGTTTTGTTATACCGTATTTGATGTAATAAGCGCCCAGGGCACTCTCAAAATTAGGAATAGGGGGCTCTTATAAGAAAATTATTTTGGTGGAAAAAACAGGGTTGAAAGATAAATTTCCTGGTTGATGCTGACAGCCTGAAATGTTTACATACGACAGATATATTTTTTCCAGAATTTTATTGCCAATAATTAAGAATGCATATAACACATGAGTGCAGATAATACGCGAATAAATAAGTCTTGTGTACATTGATCAATCCGAAGGGGTGCTAATTGGGATTGTTCACTAGCAAATATATTAGCAAATATCGGCATGGGCGCTTATTAGAGCGGGGCGCTTATCACGTCTAATACGGTAATCAAGATGCCTTCAGTTGTGGAGACCAGTATATGTATTATGGGTAAAATGACATTTTCATCATGTGACATGTGCCCTAAACTGTGTGTCACATCAAGACGGTAATCAGAACTGTGTGTCACATCAAGACGGTATTCAGAACTGTGTGTCACATCAAGACGGTATTCAGAACTGTGTGTCACATCAAGACGGTATTCAGAACTGTGTGTCACATCAAGACGGTATTCAGAACTGTGTGTCACATCAAGACGGTATTCAGAACTGTGTGTCACATCAAGACGGTAATCAGAACTGTGTGTCACATCAAGACGGTATTCAGAACTGTGTGTCACATCAAGACGGTAATCAGAACTGTGTGTCACATCAAGACGGTATTCAGAACTGTGTGTCACATCAAGACGGTATTCAGAACTGTGTGTCACATCAAGACGGTATTCAGAACTGTGTGTCACATCAAGACATTATTCAGAACTGTGTGTCACATCAAGACGGTATTCAGAACTGTGTGTCACATCAAGACGGTATTCAGAACTGTGTGTCACATCAAGACGGTATTCAGAACTGTGTGTCACATCAAGACGGTAATCAGAACTGTGTGTCACATCAAGACGGTATTCAGAACTGTGTGTCACATCAAGACGGTAATCAGAACTGTGTGTCACATCAAGACGGTAATCAGAACTGTGTGTCACATCAAGACGGTATTCAGAACTGTGTGTCACATCAAGACGGTATTCAGAACTGTGTGTCACATCAAGACGGTATTCAGAACTGTGTGTCACATCAAGACGGTAATCAGAACTGTGTGTCACATCAAGACGGTATTCAGAACTGTGTGTCACCTCAAGACGGTATTCAGAACTGTGTGTCACATCAAGACGGTAATCAGAACTGTGCACATCAGAATCATAATGCAAACCTGCATATTTTGGTAACAGTGAAACCAATTGAATTTAGACGCTAGTCTTCCTGGAGTTATCGTCCAGTGAACAAATTTTCATGCAATCAAATCATGGATTGCACTAATAGTCCTTGATCCAAACAAGATCTTCTTGGCTTAGCATGCTTCTGAACTAATGAGGTTTTACTGTATTTGAGAAATATTTGCGGAAAGAAATATAACATCCATGTTATCAAGGCTGTATAAATGACAACAGTGAGCATCTAGTAAACAAATTAAATTTTCAGACATTGAACAAGACATGCTACGATAGGTAATCAAAACAATGGAAATAGAACTTTCCCGTAGGCTTACTGTACCAGTTATCGCCATCGCCTTAACGGCTTGTGCCATCTGATCATGCGCACGGCTTCAGTTATACAAATTACATTTTTTAGCATCTCAGGTAGTGCACTCAATTTTTTTTTATTCTTCAAAATGAATAAGAAATGCTATTATCAATTTGTCGACTGCAAACTGACAAAAAACAAAAATTCAATCTACACATGCTTATCCTTAACACTATATACTATGGATTTTCGCAATATATACAGGATATGCATTTTTTGGAAATATTCCTTATTCAACTTTATAAGCGCCCCGCTCTAATAAGCACCCACAACGATATTTGCTAATATATTGGCTAGTGAACAATCACAATAAGCAACCCTTCTAATTGATCAATGTACACAAGACTTATTTATTCGTGTATAATACACATTCGTGTGTTATATGCACCCTTAATTATGGGCAATTAAGTTCTGGAAAATATATCTATCGTGTAGTATACGCACAGATTCTTCTTTTGTATCATATCAGGCTGTCAGCATAAACGACAAAATTTACAATCTTTCAACTCTGTTTTATTTCTCACCAAAATTATATTCTAATAAGAGCCCTCTATTTCTAATTTTGAGAGTGCCCTAGGCGCTTATTACGTCGAATATGGTAGTTCAAACAGGTTTCAGAATTGTATTTTGGGGATTATGGTGGGTTTTTTTTTTTAAATATTTCCTAACAGGAATCTGTTTTGTTCATCATTTTTGGATAAATATTTTTCTCTTCTAATGAAATCCAGTAAAAATAAAATGAGATGCAATTATGTGCGCTCTATAACGGGAAGGTGTCGATAATTGGTCCTCTGCGATAACTGGTCACTAGCCAGACATTTCACTAAAATTCATGCCTTAAGATCGTCCAAACTACCCTTTGGCCTAAGGGGGAGTTAGATCGATGAATATTGCCTAAAAGTCCTGAGTGTTGTTAATGCAAAAGTTGATACAGCTTTCTTGACCCATAAATAGCCGATACAAATATAAATAACATCGGATCATGCAGAGAAAAACAAGAATAATTTTTTTAAAGCAGTAGTCATTTCGACAAAGAAGTAATTTTTAAGTCTACCAAGGTATACAACACATGGACAACAATATTGTTCATCTGGCTAAAAGTAACTAAAATAAAGACCTATGTGCATGACATTATTATTATAAATTAAGAGTAATTAAGATCTTTTCTCATCATTTGAATAAATATAATTTCCCATAGCTTTCTGCGTACATTTCACAAGATACCTGCACCTATAAGTTCACACACACACACACACACACACACACACACACACACACATATATATATTATATATATGTTTTGTCATCGTCACCTTCGGATCAAAAGTGAAAACCCATTGAGGGCCCCTGATGACTCCAGGTGATTTGTGTTACTGGGCCGACTCGTTGAATCACATATCATAGTAATCAATCGATACACTCTTAAGCCGAATGACAACTGTTGCATTTGACCCACCTGAGTTGTGCATGTTGAACTGCAAGTGGACCCGGCGGTGTCACCTACTCCTGTCACTAGAAACACGACGATGGCCAATAGCCTTGGCATGCCCATCAGTGATCAGTCACCTCGCTCACTCTAGTGATTTGTGTTTCTCATCATATCCCCGATATATCAGATGGAACATTTGAATGCAATCACCAGCATGTCAGTCACATCTGAAGCTCGGCCTTGACAGTCTGTTAATACAAATTTCAGAAACCGACATGTTTCAGTATCTCATCCCCAGTTAAATCAAGCCGCCGTCACCAACAGAGGGCTCGTCCACACTGCGACAACACGCTGGTTTGTTTTCAATCACACCGAGAGTTACCTCCCCTGCAATACAGGTGTGTGTCAATGAGGACAGGATGTAGAATGTGCACCGAATATGCCAAACAGGCCACGGTGAAGATTACTTAAAAAGGTGATACCCAGGGATTATGCGAACGGTTTTGTCACGTCGCAGTTGCATTTAGACCTAATTTGGCCGTTGGCTGTGTGGTACCCGAGTGGGGATAGGAGCGCGACAATATTGGCAATCATTAACAGCAGCGCAACAAGGACGTTATGTAGGCCAATGTTCTTCCCATCAGGTAAGATGGCAAGGTGTAGGGGCATAGGTTTTTCGCCCTTCAGTACTAGAAGTACTTTCAATAGCGCGATGCGACAGTGAATAGCATTCTACCGTTCCGTCGCGTGGCGCTAATAACGCTGTCGCATTATCATACTATCGTAAATTACTTGGGTGAGACATGATTTGAGGGAGGGCTGGGGTTGCACATTTTATTTCAAAGCAGGGTCTACCTAAAACCAATTAAATTCGTAGATGAATGCGCTTAATCCATACAGGACATTGACGGATCCAAAGGGAAGGGTGTATGCGGGGGATTTGTAACCCTTAACATCATAGTCAACACCAACTCACGCACACGCACGCAGCCACGCACACACACACACACACACACACACACACACACACACACACACTATGATTTCATGGCCTTTTATCGTGTTCTTTGAGGCAATGTTTCGCCTGGACGTCTCACAAAGAACACCGGATCAGAGAAGCTTGGTTTTCATGCTACCAAAGGAATATATCCTCTCCGATCTCAAGAAAACCATTCGTGCCGAGTATGGGTAATCTGGCTTTGTAACTTGAATTCTAACATGACATGTGCTTTTGAAAATGTGTCTTAGTAGTACACAGGGGTGAGCGAACAAGACTAGGTGCCAAAAGTTCAAAGGTATTCGGGATTCGGGGGAAGTGGCGGGGTTGGCACCCTCTATCATGTTTGTTTTCCCCAAGTCTGCTACTTCTGGATGCCACAGGAGGTACGCGCTGTCCATGCCAAAAAGTTGGTAGTTAGGAACTATACCATTTTCTCGCTTGGCAGTAACAAATGTGATTTCATCCGAGCACATGAAGCATTATTTGGGAAAGTTTTGAGCCTTTTAGGTTAATATTTTGAACTTTGAAATCGTACTTATATCATGCACCGAAGGGCTTCCGGACCATTATCGTTCTAGTATTTATATTTATATCAATCGATAATAAGTTCGATATTTTTATCTTTACTTTTGATGTCATTTGATGCGACAAGTCGAAAACTAAATTAGGTGTTTTTCAGCGTGGAAACATTATTAATTTTTACTTGCGTACTTTTTTTGTGGTCAATTTCTGCTTTAGTATGCCTTTTTAGTATTTGTATCAATGTATAACATTTGTGTGATGAATATATTCTTATTCTATTCTTCTTGGTTTAACTGTCCAGGCTGCTGATTTTCTATTTTAGCCGACTGTCGTGATAGTTAAAATTGTAGCTTGACAAAATCTCATTTAAAGCTTTTCCTGCCTTTCAAATTGCCTAAGCAAAACGTGAGGCCATGTTGAGGATAGTTATGCTTCTAGGAAAGATGGAAGCCATTTTTCGTTGCAATTGTTGAATACAGTGAATTCTAGTCACATGCAGTGATAGGCCATGTTTAGATTTGTAAGCATTCAGACATGGTTCACACATTATGATTGCATTATGGTCCCTTTGCACGCGGTGCTTGAAGCTGAGGGATTGGTGTTAAATGACACACATGACGCATCAATTGCCTCGATGTCAATGGTTCTGAAAGAAAAACAACAATGTAAACTCGGTACCAAAGACGGATGAAAGAACTTGGTATATGTGCCATATGAAATACTACCACATGCTAGTAGAAGCCGGTGGGTGGACAGAGGAATAAATCTGCCAAAACCACGCCTCTGTATTATCAACTTTTGACTCGACTCCAGAAACCTAAAGATATATCAATTCCTCTTTTACTGGATTTAAAGCTCCATAAAAATCTGTACAAAGAGAGAGATATTGCTGGTCCAGCACATGTACCACCAAATTCCTGTCTCAAGGATTAATAATAAGCCGAAATACAATCAAGGAAGGGCTTCTTCCTAATTGTAAGAGACTGGGCTACTGCCTGTCAGGAGAGCAAGAGGCAATATGTATTTCTGAACAATGTTTGCGTTCGATTTCAAAACCTTGGACGACCCAGGTGAACCCAAGTTAACCTAGGTTGACCAATGTTATCTCATGTTAACCGATTTACATCATACTTCGGTTGACGGTTGCCCATACCTACTGAATCCTTGGGTGCGATACTCTGGTTCGCAGCCTCCAAATAACGTCATCGTTAAAGCTTATTAGTTTCATTCATTGATTCAATCATGAATATTAGCATTTTAATGAATAAAATAACCAGGTATTGATAGTTTATAGTACTCTGATATACATTACGGAAATGTATGACAGTAGAGGATATGGCCGCCAACGATCTTGAAGGACGATAGGGGTAAGATGGGAAATTTCAAATTGACGCTTTGGATCAGTAGTGCTGTCACCGCCACGATGTGTCAAAGATTCCTTCACTGAACGATGCATACTGCGTGTGAGTTTGCCAATGGCGATTTAAGGGAGTCATTTCCACTCCTCTTGCAGCACCTGGCCCAGTTCAGCCAACGTGGTCGGCGTCCTGTGACGTTGACGCACACATCTCCCTATCATGTCCCAGACGTGTTAAGTTGGGTCTGGGCTTATTGCTGGTTATGGCATGCAATGGATGTTGAACTGCTGGAGGTGAGAATTGAAGATTCGTGCGCGGTGAGCACGGGCGTTGTCGTCCTGAAAAAGAAAACGTCGACCCACACGCCTTGCAAACGGACAATAAAGGGCGTCCGCATGTTGTCCTGATAGTACTGTTCAGTGAACTTGGGTTCGGTCAGTCATAGTGATGCCACCCCTGTATATTGAGAAATAGGACGTAGTCGGCTGTATATTGAGGAATAGGGCGTAGTCGGCTGTATATTGAGCAGAAGGCGTAGTCGACTGTATTATGAGGAGTAGGGAGTAGTCGACTGTATATTGAGGAGTAGGACGTAGTCGGCTGTATATTGAGCAGAAGGCGTAGTCGACTGTATTATGAGGAGTAGGGAGTAGTCGACTGTATATTGAGGAGTAGGACGTAGTCGGCTGTATATTGAGCAGAAGGCGTAGTCGACTGTATTATGAGGAGTAGGGAGTAGTCGACTGTATATTGAGGAGTAGGACGTAGTCGGCTGTATATTGAGGAGTAGGACGTAGTCGGCTGTATATTGAGGAGTAGGACGTAGTCGGCTGTATATTGAGGAGTAGGACGTAGTCGGCTGTATATTGAGGAGTAGGACGTAGTCGGCTGTATATTGAGGAGTAGGACGTAGTCGGCTGTATATTGAGGAGTAGGGAGTAGTCGACTGTATATTGAGGAGTAGGACGTAGTCGGCTGTATATTGAGGAGTAGGACGTAGTCGGCTGTATATTGAGGAGTAGGGGATACGGGAGTTGTCGGCAGTGTGTTGGGGAGGAGGGAGTTGTCTGCAGTATATTGATGGGTAGGGAGTCGTCGGCTGTGTATATAGGAGTAGGGAGTAGTCGGCTGTATAATGAGGTATAGGGCGTAGTCGGCTGTACATTGAGGAGTAGGGAGATGTCGGCTGTACATTGAGGAGTAGGGCGTGGTCGGCTGTATATTGAGCAGTAGGGAGTATATATATTGAGGATAATGGAGTTGTCGGCAGTATATCGGAGTGTAATCGGCAGTATATGGAGGTTAATGGAGTTGTCGGCAGTATATCGGGGAGTAGTCGGCAGTATATGAAGGGTTGGAAAGCAAAACAGCCTAAGTCATACTTAGGCTGTTGTTGTATAATAACAAAAATAGAAAGTCCTCTTTAAGCTCTATTACCTAAATATAACTTTTCCCGGATTTAAATGATTTTTTACCCGAAACAGCGTCTCAAAATATGAAACATTGTGCAAAAATGACCTTAGTGATACTTAAGTCGTTTTCGCCTGCAAGTGCTCTAACTAAGGTTGTTTTGCACCATTACTCTTCTACAAATAAGACAAAAAAGACATCGAAGCACATGGTGTCCTAAAAAGGGTCGTCTCCATATTGCCGAAGTCTTGACTATATAAGGTGAGTATCAATAGGCCGTTCATGGGACACTTTTCATTTTTTATCTGTAATTATAAAAAAGCACGAAGACAGATATTGATTTATCATTTGGTATTAAGAAAAGTCAATTTTGGAATTTTTGACTAAGGTTGTTAAGGCTTGAACTGTTGGAAGAGTGTAATGAATAATTGTCACGCTAAAACAAGCATTTTAAGTATTTATATCAGATGTAGACTTTACATATTTCGTTTAATATGTAATATTATACACATTTTTGTTGATTATGGTTAAAAATATTGTCAAAATTCATTTTGTCTTGCAGATTTCTGATATCCGATGAACAGACTTCCTCTTGAAGTTTTAGTTCAGATCTTTCAGTATCTTCCACCTTGCTAAGAGATGTAGCTGCTGTCAACAGACAATGGTTGAACATATCTCAGAGTAGATTGTTATGGTCCAAACATTACTACCTTGATCTTCATCTTTGTGACTGCCGGTCTAAAAGTGAGGAACACATAGATTTTTCAAACTATTTACCTCTATGCACAAACGTGACAAAACTATTCTCTGCTATGGTTATAATTGTTGTTTTTTGCTAAAAGTTAGCAGAAAGACTTTTTCATTTCCTTGTACAGTTTAAAAAGTAGCGTTTTGCCTCTCCTGTAAAGTTGCAAAAATTGACTTAGGCTAGTTTGCTTTGCAACCCTTCATATTGAGGATAATGGAGTTGTCGGCAGTATATCGGGGAGTAGTCGGCAGTATATTGAGGATAATGGAGTTATCGGGGAGTAGTTGGTAGTATATTGAGGCTAATGAAGTTGTCTGCAGTATATCGGGGAGTAGTCGGTAGTATATTGAGGCTAATGGAGTTGTCTGCAGTATATCGGGGAGTAGTCGGTAGTATATTGAGGTTAATGGAGTTGTCGGCAGTATATTTGGGAGTGGTCGGCAGTCTATTGAGCAGCTGGCAGTATGTTGAAGTACTGGTACCCTGAGTCACTTGTCCACACATAAACCCACCGGAAAGCGCATGTGCAAAAGAGAACGGCGTTCAAGTCACCAAGACGAAACACTCTCCCCCCCCCCCCCCCCCCCCCCCCCCCCCGCATCTGGGGAAACAACAACTGCAACCGAGGTGACAACAACTGCATAAAATGAGTGAGTGAATGAGTATGGGTTTACGCCGCTTTTAGCAAAATTCCAGCAATATCAGGGATACCAGAAATGGGCTTCACACATTGTATCCATGTCGGGAATCGAACCCGGGTCTTCGGCATGACGAATGAACGCTTTAACCACTAGGCTACCCGACAATCCACTGCATAAAAGGACAGACTATTTACTAAGTAAAACAACATATGCATGGACAACATGGACTGCCGCAGAAAAGATGTTACATGTGTTTTAACGCCACGGGGTGTTGTGAGCATTTTATTGGGGAAACCGGCGTGCAACAAAAGGACCACATGACCGTACACAGACAGCAAATTTGAGATCCAAATGTACGTTGCTTAAATGTTAGTAAACACAATGGTGTATGCGGGAGTGGTCATGGTACTGTCTTTCCGTTTTATGAATTAGTTAACAATGATAAACATTTGCGAATGGAAAACGAACAGATGTTCTTTGGGTTTTTGAAACCTAAACCTAATTTCACCACATTGAACTCCGTAGATGTGATAGCGGTGTCTTTAGCTGCTCATGCTGAAAATAGGCTATGTTCAAAGGTTAAGATCTCGTGACACGAGAGCGAGACCTAATTCCCCATAAGCCCTTCTTCATCATGGCCTCATGCTTAATCACACGTACGTATCTCGCTGGAGATATTTTGTGAGTGTACGAGGTAAATATGAGTAGTACACAATCTAATATCCCCAAACAACCTGCCAAAGGTTCAGGGGATCATGACAAACCTCCTGAAAGTGGAACAGTCAGTCAAGTGTCGTTAAATCTGGCCAGTACGAGCCACGATGACGACCACGTGGGCCCGAAGGTTAGATCTACTAACCGGGGTACTTCGCAGGGGGGTCAAGTAGCGCAGGCAAGCAAGATCACTTACCTAAGTGAGAGTGAGTGAGTATGGTTTAAAGCCGCTTTTAGCAATATTCCAGCAATATCACGGCGGGGGGACACCAGAAATGGGCTTCACACATTGTACCCATGTCGGGAATCGAACCCGGGTCTTCGGCGTGACGAGCGAACGCTTTAACCACTAGGCTACCCGACCGCCCCCTCACTTACCTAAAGGTTATAGGATTACTAAAAAAAGGAGAAAAACAACCACAGGATTCAACATGATATCTCAGACTGGTCTAGCTCGGGCGAGTCAAGTTCGACTGACAGTTCGACTGATAGTGACGAGTGCGATGTGGTTGATAGTTACCATCTGCCTGGCACGTTTTCAGGGCCGGATGCGGACGACTAATCGAACCCTCACAAAAAAGAGGTCGATTTTCAAACGTTTGTGTTAATAAACTTGATAAACCCCGCTCTACAAATGGTCATGCAGAGACCATATACCGATATGGTGTTTGGGTCATGCAACTGTAGCCGGTTCAGCTGAACCAGTAGATGAATATGTCCCATTTTCGATCACACAGGCAGAATCAGATTCTCGGTCCTTGCCAAGCCATCTGTCTAATCATCTCAATTCTCAGTTCTCTACCTTCAATAAAGATAATGTGTTGAATGAGGACATTCTTGATGATCACCCCATACCTGGTGAGCATTGTTTGACTGCTCCCCAACTGGATGGGTATTTAGATGATCTTTTTGAAGCGCGTGACAGGTCATTTCAGAAAAAAAAGATTTCTCTTTGCAGTTTATTCAAAAGAGAATGTTAAATGTCATGGGTCCTTTGTTCCATTTATGGGGAAATCTTGACAAAATCAGACGCATGGAGGCTACACCTGATTTAGACATTAATGAATTTCTTGACATTGTAGAAAAGTCAGTCTGCCTTGTTGGACAAGCTAACTTGTCTATCAATTTCCACAGGCGGCTTTCAATTTTATCCAAACTGGTTAAAGGGCAAGTTCACACGGAAATGAACCTATTTTTCTTGTACTTTTTCCACATTAAAAGTGTTAACATAGAAGTGTCATAGACAAAAATATAAAAAATATCACAATTAATTAACATATTTTTCGCATTAAAACGATTTATATTTTTCACATTTACCAAGTGTTCTATTTCCACAACAAAAACACCATGGCTTATGCCCCTTGCAATATGACGTCATTGGTGCCAATTGATAAACATTATGACGTCATCATGCTTTGTTAGAGCCGCTTCACGTGGTGTAGGTCCAGGTGTGTGATTCTAGCGTCTCAGATGCCAGCCAGCATAGTGTTATGCTGAGTCACCACTGCGCCGGAGTGTGTCGTAGGCCATGTTGTTTTACCGCAAACTGGTACTTGATATCTTTTGCGTTGAGAATAGACAGGGACCCAGTTGAATTGGCACCAATTACGTCATAATCTAAGGGGGATAACTCAGGCCTGTTTAGCTCGAAAAACGAAGGCCTCATAACGGCATATCATTTTCACACTATTGCGAGCTTCCTACGTTCACTGTGAAAAAAATGAGTGTATATTTTCAAACACAGATACTAATTAATTCTAAAATTGCGTTTTGTTTAGAAAAAGAAAGAAAGTGATTTTTGCGTGTACACTTCCCCTTTAAGGATCCAAAACGTTGCTTTACAAGTATGAGCGTAATTTTGCCGATGCTAAAGGGAAGCTCTTCGGAGACCCCTTTTGCAACACGCTTCTCGCCGGGGGTATATTCTTGTTGGGCAGCATTCGGCTCCCAAGAAAAAGATTAATTTCTTTAGAAACCAGCCTTTCTCGCAGCAGCCCTTTCATGGTGAGCCCTCAGGTAAGCCCAGTTCGTCTGGGGGCGGATTCAGAGTTCAGGCATCCTTCAATCCCAGGAGAGGAGGGAAAGACTGTGGTGGCAAAAGAGGAAGATCCTCAGGACCATATAGGTTTGTATCACTCTCTTTCACAAATACCGATGTCATGAAGCTCGTCATAAGTTCAAGTCCCATTAATCTGAATGCTCAAAATCCAGAACATCCAGACAGTATGTTACCAGAAATAGAAGATCTAAACTTAGAAATCATTCCTTTCCGGGAAAATATTTTAGGGGGCAGAATAACACATTTCTACACCAATTGGGCAAAAATTACTCTAGACCCATGGATTCTTCAGACCATTCAGGGCTTTCAAATAGAATTCATTCAAAAGCCCATCCAGAGAAAACCACCTCCATCGTTTACTCCTTCTCAGGTGAGCCAGGTTGTACTGGACAGGGAGATTGGGAACATGATGATGAAAGGGGCGATAGAGTGAGTGAGTGAACATGGTTTTACACCGCTTTTAGCAATATTCCAGCAATATCACGGCGGGGGACACCAGAAATGGGCTTCACACATTGTACCCATGTCGGGAATCGAACCAGGGTCTTAGGCGTGACGAGCGAACGCTTTAACCACTAGGCTACCCGACCGCCCCAAGGGGCGATAGAAGAGATTCTTCCGGGTGTGAATCTGGAGGATTCTCAATCTCAGTTTTTGAGTCCCACGTTCGTAGTTCCCCCAAAAGACGGGGGTCAGAGACTAATACTCAATGTGAAAAAACTGAATGCTTTCATTCCATACAATCATTTTAAGATGGAAAGCCTTTCACTCCTGAAGGATGTCATTCAGGAAAACGATTATATGTGCAAACTGGACCTGAAGTATGCATACTTCAGCATCCCGATTGCCAGGCACCAGAGGAAATTCCTCTGCTTTCAATGGAAGGGGCGATTGTTTCAGTTTCTCTGCCTTCTATTTGGCCTAGCGCCAGCTCCACAGACGTTCACCAAGTTGCTGAAACCTGTGGTAAGCATTGCACGCAGAGCAGGTATTCGGATGATCATATACCTAGACGAAATGATTCTCTTTGCCTGAAGCCCAGAGAGTCCAGTTTGTTGCCGAGAGTCTCTTGTATCTTTTGAAGAACCTAGGTTTCGTTATCAACAAAGAGAAATCAGTTCTTGCTCCGTGTCAGAACCTCAACTTTCTGGGTTTCGAGATATATTTTCACAGTGTCTCACTCTAATACTTTCCCCAGAAGAAAGTGACGGACGTACTTCAAAGATTCGCAGGATACTGAAACAACCAGTGATACAGATTCGAACACTGGCCACTTTGTTGGGAAAGCTTTCAGCATCAATGAGAGCTATTGTTCCAGCCCAGTTACACTGCAGATTCCTACAAATGCAATCATCACAGGAACTATTGGAACATCAGAGCTACAAACACAGGATCAAACTTTCAAGGAAGTGTGTACAAGAAATTCGCCGATAGGCAGACAAACCCATTTCAGCAATCCACCCAGATCTGATATTACAAACAGATGCTTTTAATGTGGGATGGGGTGCAGTTTGCAATCAAGACCGGACTGGAGGTCTGTGGAGTCTGGGGAGCAAATTCCATATCAATGCTCTCGAACTAAAAGCAGTTCTACTGGCTCTTCAGTGTTTCTTCAAAAGTCAGTTAGGCATGTCCCTTCGACAACCGCACAGCAGTCTCTTATGTGAATCGTCGGGGGGGGGGGGAGGGGGGGACAAAGTCTCATGTTCTAGTCACAATAGCCAAAGAAATGTTGGACCTTTTCCCCAGAGAAAGATAACTCTGGAAGCACAGTATCTAAAGGGCAAGGAGAACATCATTGCAGACTGGGAGAGTCGCCATTTTGCAGATTCGAGCAAATGGCTCTTGAATCGCAAGGTGTTCAACCAGTGCAATCAGAGACTTGGCCCTTACTTGATAGACCTTTTTGTATCCCGCCTCTCAAATCAACTGGAGAAGTATGTCAGTTGGAGACCAGATCCCCAGGCAACTTACATAGATGCATTTCAGTTGGAATGGAAGGGGGTGAGAGGTTATGCCTTTCCCCCATTCTCCATGATCGGGAGATGTCTGTGGAAAGTAAGGAGGGAGGGGGCAGAACTGACCTTGATAACTCCAGTGTGACAGGGCCAGGCGTGGTACCCTGTCCTGTTGGAGATGTCAGTGGAGTGTCCAATTCTTCTACCGGTGTGAGCCGACTCGCTGGAATCACCACAAGGTCAAACACACCCTCTGGTAGCAAACGGGACACTGCTATTAGCGGCCTGGAGGGTTTAAGGAATCTGGTCACTTCAGGAGGCATTTCGCCAAAAAACTGCCGAGCTTTTGTCACACCAGTGGAGACCAGGGACGCAAGGACCTTATAATTCCTCCTGGAAGGGGTGGTCTTGCTGGTGAGTGGAACGGCAAATCAATCCCTTTTCAGCCTCTTTGGAACATATCCTAGAGTATCTAACCCACACGTATGAAAGAGGATCTTAATACAGAACCGTTAACACTAGCAGATCAGCTTTGTCTGCCTTTCATCCCCACATACATGTTGGTAAACATCCTTTGACCAAGAAACTTATGACAGCTATTTTCAATCAGAAACCTCAATGTACTCGATACCACCAAACTTGGAATGTAGACGTGTTCCTGGACCATATTGGTAATATGCCTGAAAATGGTAAATTATCAGATAAGCTTCTGACCGAGAAACTGGCTACATTGTTGATGCTTACATCAGCAAGTCGATCAGCTGAACTTACTTCCATGAACGTAAGACCCGTGAAGATCCGGGGTAGAATAGGTCTTCAGCAACCCATGCTTGCCGTAAAAAGAGACTATGCTTGTCGTAAGAGGCGACAAACGGGATCAGGTGGTCAGGTTCGCTGACTTGGTTGATGCATGTCATCGATCCCAATAGCGTGGATCGATGTTCATGAGGTAAATCACTGGATTGTCTGGTCCAGACTCGATTATTTACAGACCTCCGTCATATAGCTGGAATATTGGTGAGTGCGGCGTAAAACAACAAACCAAACCAAAAACCAAATCCATGAACGTAAAGTTCACATCTGACAAGGGCTACAAAGTTGTCTTTCTTTTGACAAAGCCCACACAGGTCTCTAAGCCTGGGTCAGAACCTCATAAGTTGACCATACAAGCTTATCCTAAGAATCCTTTACTCTGTGTAGTGCAGTGTATCAGAGACTACCTTGACCGCACACTCCTGTGGAGAAAGGATGGGGATAGAGATAAGTTATTACTCAGTTATGTGAAACCTCACAAACCTGCATTCGCAGCTACAGTTGCTAGATGGGTAACTAATGTGATGAAGGATGCAGGGATCAATGTTTTAGTGTATAGAGCACACTCAGTCCGGGGGGCTTCTACAGCAAAAGCTTACACTAAAGGTGCTTCGATCACCGAAATTTTAGAACTGGGAAACTGGTCTAGAGCATCTACTTTCAAGCAGTTTTACTTGAGGGAGACTTAAGAATGTGGAATCAGTTTAAAATACTAAACTAGAGCTTTAAAGCACCGCTATCACATCTACGGAGTTTTATGTGGTGAAATTGTTAATTTGATAAGCACACGTAATGTGTGAATTGAAGTTATAATTTCATTAATAAAACGAAGTAGATGTGATAGCCCAACGCTTGAATTTCCCTCCCTAGCTTGTATTTTGACTGAATTGTATCTCTTTACAGAGGACGCCATTAGGAGGAGACCTGGCTGAAACTCCCACATTCCAGATGTCCAGCTTGGACCAAGATTATCCGTCCGGTTGCAGTCTTAGTTGAGACAGTTTTTGTAGTTCGCATTCGCATTCGGTACAGTGTACTCAGATCTGGGTTACTTGTCACCTTAATTTGGGACATCCCAAATAAATGTTTGATTGAAGCTCTTTTCTTAGTTGTTTTTAGCACTTCGGCATAATGAAGAAGGGCTTTTGGGTAATTAGGTCTCCTTCTCGTTTCACGAGATTGTAACCTTTGAACTTGGCCTATTTTTAGCATGAGCAGATGAAGACACCGCTACCACATCTACTTCGTTTTATTAATGAAATTATAATTTCAATTCACACATTTCATGTGCTCATGAAATTAACAATTTAAAAGACTTAGCACAATTTTCAAAACCTCCCAATGTAGTTCACTGTATATATGTGCACTCACACCACAATGTATCACACTATTGTTAGTATGACTTCAAAAACATAATGTTGTCTCTCCCCTATGACTACGTTTTACCCTCCCTCTTTTGTCACTAACTGTTTCGCATTATAAAGACACAAATACTGTTGTTGTGCGTCGCCTATGACTACGTTTTAAGTTTTCATTACACCATTCGTCACCACTCGTCCCTTTCCGTAACCTGCAAGAGGATATCAATGACATGTTTTCAGTGACACTCAAACTTAAAGGCATCTGTTCATCTCTGTCTTGACTTGTTGTTGTACCAGGGGTAGCACTGACAGACTCCGCTATAACTTCAGCTACTGTCCTTTGGAAGTAACTTACACTTGGGTTGTAGTACTGTGTCAGTTGGTCTGTACTAAACCTATCATCTCGCCAACGTACTATTCTTTCCTAGATGCACGAGCTGGCGTTCGGGGTTGTCTTTTCACGTGTTGTAGAGTGGACAATATATGTATAGCATTTGTAATGAATTTATTATGAATAAGCAGCTGATCTAAATTAATAATTATTGATTACCTTTGTAAAACAAGCCGTACACAGAAACAAGTAAGGTTGGTCTTTCTCGTACAAATACACACACAGCCAGTCTTCTAAACGATATATGATTTTCTTTCGCCAATCATCTTCCGACCAGTCATTTACAAAAGTCTGTAAGGGTTCGTACATCCCGCCAAACACAGTTTTCCTTGTGTTTTGATCGGCGTTACATCGGCAGCCGCATTGAAAATAGACCCACGAGTTGACAATTCTTTTAACTATGCCGGTTTGCGTCTAGACGCATTCGTGACCAACTCGATGCGTAATGATTCCGGATGTTATTTAAACACATCAGGACACATTTTACTGTATCTTTGGTATAGTTTTGAATGCAAGACATGTGAAAAATGAAAAATTATTCCTGAGGGATTCTTTGACCGAAGTACTTGAAGTCATGCACGCACTCTGATTGGTTTGTCGTATTTTCGCACATAACATTTATGGATATGGGGACGAGTTTTCTTGCAGGTTACGGAAAGGGGCGAGTGGTGACCAATGTTGAAGAGCCGTTTAGCAGCGAAAGATTTTGTGTGCATAAAGGAGTTTTAACAAGCTCAAGGTGAGGTGAGGTGAAATGGGGTTTAACGTCGCGTCCAAGATTATTGCACTTATATAGCGACGTGCATGCACGTGTGTGTGTGTGTGGCCTCTTGTTCTAGTCCGGACTGATGCCGATTTATAGTGCTAGCCCACTGAGATACCATGCCGCAGTTTAACATGAATACCCCACTCAGACACAGTATACTGACTCCGAGCTGACCAGTCCTTTTTTTATCCCCTTAATGCCGAGCGCCAGACAGGGTAACAACAAGTACCATCTTTTAACGTCCTTTGGTAGGACTTGAAAAAGCACAAATATCTGGACTCTTTTTTTTTGTATATTTAATGCTTATACACCTAAAGAAATCATTTGTTTATATCTGAGAGATAATAGTAAACGACAACATCTACCCCTTACGCCCCTAAGCCTAAAGAAGAGAAAGAAATAACGAGAAGACGCCCCCATCTATTTCTTTATTACGTACGCCAATTGGTGTCGAGAAGAGGAAAAAACGCGAGTACACAGGCATACATGTCTTTATAGTTTGTTTATAAAAGAAATAAACGACTAGTGGGAGTTGATTATCGTACAATAAAACACTGCAGGCAGAATAAACCATGAGGGGCGCAGTCACTAGACCTTGTCCTTTAAAAAATAACGTTATTTTTTAGAGTGTAGTAGGTAGTTCCCCACAGATGTAGCTGGGCTTTGTAGATAAATGCAATGGCCGAACGATAGCGTCCAAGAGCGGGAGAGAAATGGCAATCGGTATTGGGAGAAAAGGGACACATAATCGACGTCAGAATTGTGAGAATATGCTAAAAAAACTCAACTTTAACCCCCTGTTCATAAAATGGACTTGTCCGAAACTGCCGAGGTCGGATTCTATTCAGGGAGTCATCATTGTTTAAAATATTTTGTATAGTTTATACATTTTATTAATTATATCATTAAAGAATCTGTAAATAATATTGATATCCCATGTAGGAAATAAACGGCTCGGTTCAGCGCCCCTCATGGTTTATTCTCCGTGCGATGTTTTATTGTACGATAAACAACGACCACGAGTCGTTTATTTCTTAATATATACCACGCTTCGTTCTTCATTGCTCTTTGCGATTTATCGCCTAGCTATGTTCTATGTGTTGTTTGACGCCACTGTCAGCAATATTTAAGTTACATGACGGCGGTCTGTAAAAAATCGAGTCTGGACCAGATAACCCAGTGGCTTCATAAGCATCGATCCTCGCGATTGGAATACGATGACATGCATCAGCGAAGTCAGCGAGCGTGACCAACCGATCACGTTAGTCGCCTTTTACAACAAACCTAGCCCCCTAGCGGTTTTCACGTATCTACTTCCTAATTACGCCCATATCATTACGTCGAGAAGGAAAGAAACATAGCTGCTTGACCCCATTTTCCAACAAATTGCTGCTGTTAAGCCTTGAAGTATTATGTACATGAACGTAATTGTTTCGCTCACTATCGATTTTCTAATTACAGATTTTACCATGGCCTGTTGGGTCGCTTTGCGTTAGGATGCGTTGCAAAGGTAATTATATGGGTTAGGTTTACAAACTAAGACATGGGGTTTAATTTAAGTTACATAATGTCCCTTTTTTAATAAATTGTCACAGAGGTGAGGTTGCCAAGGAACGTGGACCAGACTAGATAAACGGTTACTATCGTTTCATATCAGCTTTACAACGTGCGAGCGTGCATGCGTGCGAGCGTGCTTGCGTGCGTGCGTGCGTGCGTACGTGTGTGTGTGTGTGTGTGTGTGTGTGTGTGTGTGTATGCATATATATATTATCGTAGGCCTGCAAGGGAAAACTCCATTAAATACGATGCCCAGTTTATGCCCCTGACACATACATCTATATCTGCGTGGGGTCATTGACCTTTTTCCTGCCGTGTCACTACTGAGTATCTACCACTCGACTAACCCGAATTCCTGCGGACATAAAAGGTATCTATTTCTCTTCATAATAGAGAGAGAGTAATTTTATTAACGTGTCACGTGTTACAAAAGAGAGTTATATACATGTTCTTTGGCATATTAGTTAGTGAGTATGGTTTTACACCGCTTTTAGCAATATTGCACCAATATCACAGCGGGGGACACCAGAAATGGGCTTCACACATTGTACCCATGTCGGGAATCGAACCCGGGTCTTCGGCGTGACGAGCGAACGCTTTAACCACTAGGCTACACGACCGCACCCTTTGGCATATTGAAAAGTAACACCCAGCCATTAGGCTTATGAGTCACAATAAAACATTATATACATTATATACTATTAAATACATTGACAATAAAATTTACATGTCTAGCTAAATGCCTAGCTAAATGATTGCTTACGTTTAAACATCTTTAAAAGTGCACTGGCTAACAAAGGCTGAATTTCTTTACATTTTAAAATATAAATGAAAGTGTCATCAAAGCCAATATTTTCAAATAACGGATTTAAAACAATACATTCTCTAAGTAAAATACTTCTAAGATCATCATATAAAGGACATAACATTAAAAAGTGAAATTCATCTTCGACAAACCTTTGATGAACAAATTTAAAACAGTATGGGCAGATTCTATTTTCTCAAAGGGTTGGTGGAGTTGTAAAATGTCCTGTTTCGATAGCCAGGGGTAAAGATCCAGATCTAAAACTAGCTAAAATGCGACGGTGGTCCCTGTATTTAATACTTAAAACATAAGGAGCAACAACGTTACGATCATGAAATTGCCTGTAAGTTCTTAGTTTATTACCATTAACGTTATGTTTATCGTTCCAAAGCTCTGTTCTCCATCTCAGTTCATCTTTTTTTTATGATAACTTTTTTAATATGGGCAATTTTCTTCTGTCGGGACATTGGAGCAGTTAGAACATCATAGATATTAGGATAAAAGGCAATTTTAACAACTTTAGTGTTCCATGAACTTTTATAAGACTTAGACATAGTAAACATTTTCTTAATGAAATCGTTACAAGTACTGTTGTTAATCTTGATGTACAGTCTAAAAACATTAACATGTAATTTAGCAAACGGGGAGGAGAGACCCATGACTCCATTAGTGGCTATTACATTTCCGCCGTTGATGATCATTGAGGAAGGTCATAATGGGACAAAGCAGAAAGTTGTCGGAAATAAGTCATAGCTAAAAGAGGCTTGATAGTGAAAATATGCATTACGTCACGTGAACGTTCTTTGCATGGAGTCCACTCGTATTCATATCAAATATAATCCCTTCAAGAAAAAAACCTTTATCTTGTCTGGAAAATGCCCTTTTTACGATCACATATAAACCCTAATGTAGATATTTCCGTAAAATATACTACACATTAATGCCCCGTAAACCACATCTGTGACGCATCTCTATTGTTTTGCACTAAAGGACAGTTGGTTGTCAATTATTCCCGCCTACTTTTTCTTAAACCCCTATTCCAATAGCCGCGCATGGAATGGACGGAATGAATTTTGTCGGGGAACATGTAGCCAGCAGAGGTCGAACCTGCATCGTACTATTTTTGACGTGAAATAGTCAACATCGGCTTCTATGAAATAAACTATTATAATTATTCAAATCTTGACCACAAAAGAATGTTTTGTCAAAGTCGGTTGAGAATATGTAGGGATGTATTTTAAGTCAGAGAACATATTCGTAAAGTGAGGAGCATAAAGAAGAATCGCCTCGTTATGGGACTCGCGATC